ATATTTCTGAATAAAGTTAAGAGATTTATAACATGTCAAGTTAGTTTAGAATTTTTGTAAATTCAATTATGATGAATGATGACAATTCTATCTAATAGAGTCTAATAGAGAATAAGAGTAAATATGTAAGTGTGATATCCTAAAAAAGGTTCTCAAATAATTAATCGATCAAATAGTTACCTTCTGGTCGACTTCATTAAATTAGAAAACGAGTTCGAAGAAAATTATTAATTATTTTTTAAATATTCATTTGTATTCAGTACATATACTAAGTATCATCTCTTATATGCTATATAAAACAGTACAAAATTAGAAATAAGTAAGAACAAGTGAACAGATGTGTAGATTATAGCGTAGTATGAAACATGATGGGGGTCAAAGAGTATGGGAAGGAAAGAGTGCAACTAAGTAAATACACTAAAAAGCACATGATAGAATACAAATGTAATATTAATAGTTATTGTTTATTAACTAAACTAACAATTCCATCACACATAAAAGAAAAAAAGTGATCTTTCTCATTTGAATTACTTATACAACTGAAGTGTAAAAGATTGTGCACATTGGGATATATGTTGACTAAGACAAATGAACAGATATGAATAGGCACACATATACACACTAAAACAAAAAAGTAACGATAAAGCCTTGCGCAACAGATGTTGGTTCAAGTGTTTTAATTAATAAACAGAAGCAGAGACGATATTTTTTCTTAAGAAGAAAAGTAACAAAGAAACGAGAACAACAGTAGGACAGTAAAATGTGCGTTACGTACTTCGTTTTTAATTAATAAGAGAATAAAGTGTTGAATATACAGCAAGAATAGATACAATAAGCCCAAACCTAACATGGATATATATATATATATATATATATATATATATATATATATATATTTCTTATGCGTCTTATGCACAAGTAGACAGTGCTATTCTTTTAGTCTGATGGTTACCGACATTATCAACAAGGTTAACAATACTGTTTTTATTGCGAATAAGAAAATGTCAACTTCACGCAATCCCATACTTCGATACAATTGCACACACACACATATACATACTTGAAGATATAGACACATGTAATGGATGAATTTAATGTATGTATTACGAACAAGTAGAATATATCTGTTTATCTTATTTTACAACAGAAACCAAACAAATATAACGAGTAAATGTTTTACTTTAACATTTGGGGGTTAAATTTAGGACAAAAAGTGGTTTTGTATTTATTTATAAACAATTTCTTACTTTTCGAAAAAAACCCAGATTACCTCATCATACCTTGTCGCTCCACCTGTCCTATGCACAGACACAAATGAAGCAGCAACAATAATGTCGAGTAATGCTTGAATAACATGTCCGACAAAGTTTATAAGTGTAGAAAAATTCGTGAAATCAATGTAAAGACAAAGAGAACAACGAAATACAAGTAAGATGACCAATAATGTCTCACATACACGCGTTCATATATAAGCACATATACTTAGGGGATTCTACTCCTTAACTGTTACCAATAATCCCCTAATTTCGCCAGATTACTTCTAGTTATAGTAAGTAGTTCTTTGTAGATTTTGTTTTAGATAAACCTTATTACATTACCTTTCCTCTATATTTTTGGCTAACAACTTGACCTTGGATAAAACCCTCATCTTCTGACTTGTTAATGTTGTATTACAGTTTGTATTCTCTTTGTTTAACTCTCAATCTAGTTTTTCTTTGATTGTATAATACTTCATCATTGCTATTGTTGTTTACATGGAAGGACATGGAATAAATGAATAAAAGATTGAAAACAATGCTGTCATTTGTTTAAAAGAGTGAAAAATTATCAAATGTAGGTGTGTATGAAATAATAATAATAATAATAATAATAATAATAATAATAATAATAATAATAGCCATTATTGTTAACATAATTATTATCTTCATGTGATACAGATAAGCCATTTTCTTTTGTGTAGGGAGCAGTAATGTTTTTTTTTCAATAAAAAAAATTTCAAAAAAACAACACTGAATAAAATAGAATGCACATGTTTACATAACCAAACACAATTGTTACTATTAATCATAGTCATGTTATCGGTGAAATTATCCCACAGGGAAATATATTACAATTGTATGTATAAGCACATACATGCACACACATCTAATATCTTTGGAAAAGTTGTTTATAATAATTATAAATAATATATTAAAAGCATATAATCAAATATAAATATAAATTGTGAAATTAATTCTATTATCTATTTTATTTAGTTTAAACATGAAATCAAATGGAATTTGTAATTAGAATGACTTTGAAATAATTACAAAGTTAATTGTTATCGATAAAGAATAAATAGATTGTAAATAGGTTGGTTGGCTGGTTGGTTGAATGTATTTAGAATTAAATAAATGAAGTCATTAGGGCGAAGAAAGGATTAGAAGTTGAAGGAATCGTTTCTGCACTCAAAGTTCGGGTTTGAGTTCGTAGATTGCCAATGCCTAAGTAGTGTATAAAATATTGATTCGACATCCTTTCGATCCTGATTCGATCTAACCTTTAATCCTTCCTTGGCCGTAATTTCCTTTATTGATTATGTGTACATCATAATTCTCCAATCGTGTTGCTATATGGTCAAATATTTCAAATGAATTAGTTTTGCTTAGTATAATAACATAATTGTTAACGGTTGAAAAAAACTCTCTTCACTGTTTGAATCCCAATTCAGCACTAAGAAGTGAAACGTGATTATTAAGTAGATAAATCTATTTCATATTATGAACTTAGTTAACAATTATCCATCGTATTCATGAACAAACTGAGAGAATATTAACTATGACATATAACATGTACAAAATTATCAATATCGGTTTCCAGGTATATGTAAGCAAATCATTTACACAGACAGTATCAATTACTAAAATGTATAAAATTGAAGCTTATTCAATAAATGAAAAAGATTCTGACTCTTGTTGTGCATGGATCTATTAGGATACGTTCACTTAACTCATATTAAACTATATATATTAATACAATGGTTCTTTATACATAAAATAGCCTTCAGTTTTTAAACCATACCTAGTGCAGTTCAAACTAAGTTCATACAAAAATGACTAATTATTTTATCAGCTTGTTTAATTGATAAAAGTAAATGTATTCAGAAATAAGTTGTGTATGAAGAAAGTGCCCGGTTATTTATTGTACACTGTATCATATAGTTCATCTATCTATGTAACTATAATCACACTATTGAGGGATAATTACTGAACACATACAATACAAATTGCCTATTTTCTACTATTTGAAAACTACGTAAATAGACTAAAATATAAAAAAAATAAAAACAGTACATAAGAATACAAATATCCTACTTAGATGATTATATGTAAAATTTTATTCGATTTATTGTTATGCTTATACCAATTACACTGTTTATATATTTGCTATCCAATGAGTGATCACTTTAAAGTAGTATCATACGTTGAATTAAAAATAACGTTCTAATATATACTGAAGATGACAACTTGTACAAACTTTTTCAAATGAATTAATCTTGAGATTTATTATTTAGTACATACGAATGTGCAAATGAATTAGGCTTTCGTGATTTGGTTGGAGTTAGATATTAACACTGTTGGACGCCGACTCAGTAGTCTAGAGACTGATAAGTCCTGGGCTCGAATCCCACAGGGCAGGATCGTGGATGCACACTGATGAGGGTCCCATAGTAGGACGAAATGGCCCTCCAGTGATTCCAGGTTTTCCATGGTGGTCTAGCTTCAAATGACTCATTTGAGGTGTACTTATATCAACTAATAATTTGAATGAATATAAGATATCGATATGGAATCGATTAGCGTCAAAATGAAAAACAAGAATTTCAATCGAAACATGTTTTAAATTGTATTGACTGCTACGTACATTTTCAGATAAAATTTTTGGAGATTGCAATACAAGCAGATCCTGGTCAAAAAATTCATTAAAAACCAGTAGGTGATTTCATTCGAGTATGAGACTGCTGAGTAATGCATATGCACGAACTCATCGTGGATTGAACCGTGGCCCTTCAGGTCTCGTAGCGAGCGCTCAAGTTTAGTTGTTTGCTTATTTTAGTGATTTTATTAAACAAATACACACCATCTTTATTTTCTACAAATATTACCAATTCTTCTTTGACAGTTTATTAATGATGAAATAAGTATCAGAAAAACTAGGCACCCATGCTTGGCATAGTTATCACTGTATGTACTTGAGAATCAAGTTAAAAGTAGAAATCGTAGACGCATAAGAAATTCATACACTAAATCCTCTTGGTCGATGGTAAAGTGTTTCTAAAATATAACTTAAATAATCGACTACTTAAGCGTAAATTTCTCGTGTAATATAGTTAATCTGACAGACATAATAGCCATCAGAGTATTAGCATCCACATCCTGGCATTCAAATACCTTATTTTCTATATTTTTTCAAAATATACATTTTTGAATGGAAGGTATCACGTACAAGGCATGGTTAACCTTTCCGTTTTCCTGTTATAAAAAGGGACGGAGATAGGAAAGGCTTGAATTTCGCACCAGATGCTAGGTCTTGAAAACTGGAGCCAATGGATCTCAGCTATATACTCGTTTCTGTTGTTTGAAATTCTATCTGCAGATATGAGAACCGAATAACTTATACCTTATATATATGTATATATGTACTGTGTGGTATTATGTATAGTACTAATTGAATATTCAGATTCTCCCAAATGCCATCACAATTATCACCATGATCACTGTAACTCAGTGACTCTACACATAAACTAAGAGATTTAGTGAAGCAGTGCCAATAGCACTGTAATAAATATAATCTGTAATTTGATATCTGTGGTATGGAAACGAGATGGATAAACCAATTAGCTACAGCTTCACAAGAAATATAGCATCAGAAACGGTATCGAATTGTTTTATTTTTAAATTAGTAAATATACTACTAGACAACTGTGAGTAACATTTACTCGAAGATAAGTATTTACTTACCAGATTTATTGATTAGATGAAAGAACTTAATCAAGAATGCGATCAAATAATACACAAACAATTTACAGTTCTTATTCGAAATTAACATGATCGATTTTACCATACACTTTAATATTTCTATCCGTGTTTATATGCTATGCATTAGCTTGGCTCAGCATTAAATGTTTGATTCACACAAGTTAATTCCAATATATTGTATGACATTAGAATTGTTTTGAAATAAATCCAAAATAAATTTGTAATCCAGTTACTCTCCTATAGAATGAAAATTCTCATACTTTAATTAGTGCATTTAATAATGAAGGCATAAAGTATTCCAAAGTGTAATATTATACTCGACAGCCCATAATATGGTTACCATTGTCTGCTTACAATGTTTGACCACGTTTTAATAAGTAAATTTAACTACAGTAAGCTTAGACCAGTAACCTGTGTATCTTATACTCTCAGCTAATTGGTTAACACAAAACGCGAATCCTATTGGTCAATTTAGATGCATTGAAAATTTGTCTAATGAACATTATTGGTTCAATTCACATCCTATAGCGTTCCCAAAATTTTGAACCATAGATTGATAACTCGAGTTTACTTAAATTGCATAGCACAGTATTGATATAAACTAGAGTCTAACAACTAAACAGACAAACACATAAGTGGAAAAGATAATTTATGAATAATATGTAAGAGGTTACATCTAAATTTCAACCAATAGTTTGACAGTAGTTGAGCTCCGAGTCAATGTAAGACAGTAAGAAAAAAAACATTTGTAAAAGCTGATGAACTAAAAACTATTCATAAAATGGAAACTATGAAAATAAAAGTAGGTACTCTAGGTTTTGAAAGCCATAAGCAAAAGAAAATCTGGAGAGTTATCTGAATACACTTCGTTTCATGGCTATTCATCAACTGAAAACAAACTACATTTTTACAAAGATTAATGCAATTGAAAATATTAACTGTCATCTTTTGTTGATAAATTTATTAATAACATTTGGAAGAACAACACAAAAGATGCCAATATACATTATATCAAAAATCTATTCATATCATTATTCGTAATGTTAGAGAGATCAGTGTAACTCTGCTGATATCAAAATAAATGAATTCATAGCAAGACGATATGATTCGGATGAAAATAATGCATTTTGAGTCAGTGAATATATATATATGACTGGATTTTTGAAGATCCTTTTTTTTTAAAAAAAAGATTTCATTACAAATTTTTTAGAACCATTTCGACATACCGCATGCTTATTGATGCTGCAATATATAATTAAATGTTTTTGTAAACACCAATGCAATTCGTTTCTCTCAAAGAGGTGGTTTGGGCTAAACAGTAATAAGTAGTATATACCGACTCTATCGAAAGTAATCTAAGACTACCTATTTCAGCAAAGACATGAATTAAGAAACCTTACAACATTTACTTTTATGAAATAGCTACTCATCATTGATGTGTAAACCTATGGCTCCAGGCATATGCAAAGAATGGATTGTGAAAGCATAAAACAGCTTCGATTTAATTACATAGGTAACTTTGTAAGTTCAATTTGAGTCAGTATGGTGATTGATATCGACTAAATTTTTCAGGATACATCTCTAGTTTTTTGGTCAATCAGGAATACGATTGTACGCCCAATATAACTGACTTCTCAGGAGCCATTGAACTGGTAAACACATTTCGAGGAGTAGAGATTTGGGAGTTTATTTTTATTTCGTGAATTCATTATCGGGAGATTAAAGAAAGACGAACATAATCTTGTTGCACTTAATGTTCATTCAGTGGCTCTCATTATATTTTGTATTATTTTAGGACTGAAATTCGAGATTATTGGTAGATTTCAGTCAAAGATAAAATATTTTCATACGATACGCAGGTATTTATTTCTATACTACAGATTCGTTCAAGTTATTCAATGAACCGAATTTAATGTAACTTATCAAAGAAATATGAAGTGGCTTGTGGGATAAAAATTCGACACACATATATTGAATTCATTCTAGAATGTGCTTACGTTCAACACAGTTATTTATATCTATCAGTAGTTGAATGTCGTATAATCACCATACGTTATTATTATTATTATTATTATTATTATTAGCTTTATTTTGTATTACGTATGTGAAACATTATAGAATTCTGGACACAGAGAATTTCAACAAGTTTTTTCGTAAAACAAAAAGACCAAATTAAGTGAACAAAGTGGCTGAAATTAAATGAAATGTTTTTTTTTAATAAGAACCTTTACACGTTTACATTAGCAATATACATGAGAATAAATGTTATTGGTCAGCTTAGCTTTTACAAACCTTTTCGACAAATAGTATATTTCCTAGATAAGGTATTTTAAAATTTTTCTATTTTTGGTTGTGTTCATAGCTTATAATGTATCAACATCTCGCTCTACAAGGAGAAAGATGTGAATAAGGTGGACAATTACTATCTGATAGAATAACTCCTGCTAGAAGTTTGCAAACTTTTACATGTCTATCGACAACCACATTTACAATAACTTTAAATAATTCATCACACATCCCGCTAACTATCTTGAGAACTATTCTCAACGCAGCAAAATATTTTCTTAAAAGCCCGGTAAGGAATAATGCAGAACAGTAAGGAACAATAAGTAATAATCAAGAATATACAAACCGTAAAATTAAATGTCGAATAATACCGAAAACATCTGGGCTTATTACATAATAAGCCAGACGGGACACTTTTTCCGTTATCAATAAAACATGAGAAGACAGTCATTTGTCACATAAAAATTAAACCAATGAGTATCATTCAAGATTAAAAGCAGAAACTATTTATTCACATGAAATTTAATTTTTAGAAGATGTTTAACTTATTCAAATGCCATGGAACGTAATAACAATTGCGAAATTGTGAAAATCACTTTATTTTAAATTAGTGTACAAAATGTATCTGGATTTAGTGTATTACTGGTAAAGTGAGGTAAACAATGCCTTCTACAATTTTCTACATACAACTACTAATTAATTATTCAGATTATGTTTTACATCAATCCATACACAGTTTTCTGGACCAGCAATTTGTCCAATAGGTAAAATTAGATAATAAAAAAATTACTTGGGTATTCATTTATTACGAGGTGTATATCGGTCCTAATTCTCAGTTTGGTTTAATAACCTCGTACTATCTAGTAAAAAAGTTACACTACTAACAAGTTATACAGTAGCTGATGAAAACGTAGAAAATTTATTTTCAACAAACAGTATAATGCTTAGAAGGTGAATGGATATGATATTATACGAGAATAAGAATGTGGACATTCTTATATAACCGATATTTATACTTTAATGCTTTCTAGAATTTTTTTAATTTCTAGTGAAGATTGAAATTTTAGTAAACAAATTGCCGTGAAAATCTATGTAATATATTCTATTGTCGGTCGTTTGAACAAATATACATTTCGTCTAATTTCAGGGGATACTCATAATCGATTAGTCACACCAGTGAATGGATGGAATAAACTTCGGTGCATTCTTCAGCAACGAATGTATATTAATGTAATCGAAGTGGTTGAAAGACATTGAAAATTATAAAGTAACTACGAAATGAATATGTGTGTCATTAGATAAAACGACCGTTCTAAAATATTAACAGGTTAAAACGTCAATTTCAGGAGATATACCCCAATAATCGACGTTGTGAAGTAGTGTTTATTAGGTGGCTAGTATTTGAGTAAGCTAATATTTGTCACCACTAACTACATTTTAGATAGTAGTCCTATTTGCGCTTTCAAGTGGAAAGTATCTGGAGAAAGACTTCTTAGACGGTGAAAAAATCTAACGATTTCTAGTATATAAATAAAACATTATATTTGTAATATCCCAATGAGTAGAAAAATCAGATTTTCTTATGTGTCGTGACTCAGTGTAAGCCACTTCTTCAGAGAGTAAATAACCAAATCAAAATCAATCGAAGTTTAAATGGTGCGAAGAACAACGGAAACGTATTATGAGTAGTCAGTCCAAAAACAGGTCTGAACAAGTCAATTTTATGTCATTTCGGTCAAGATGATTTATAAGCGACATATATGTAAATTTGTGTGTGTATGTGTGTAAGGTCAGGGATACAAAAATATGACCTTTATGTTTAATTCGTACGAATGATATTAATGTGAAATGTGAATTTTTTCAGACATGGTAGCTTAGATGGATAGTCCAAGTCGGATGTATAGTGAAGTCTTCTTTTTTATTGTGAGCAGTAGGATTAATCATCATATAGAAAGCTTCAGCTTCAGGATAAAATGAATACCTCTTTAGTCGAATTATTTGCCAATATTTTTATTTTATGAACTAATTTGCTTTTAAAAATGAGCACAAACATAAGTGATTGTGCAAAAGGTAAAGTGAAAATGAATGAAATTCATACTTATGCCGTAGTCTAGATATTTTGTTGTTGAAAATATAACTAACAAAGGGTCTATTCCCCTTCAGAAAACTAAAGGTTCATTAATTTATCTAATCGATGTAATTTAATAAACAGAGCTATCATAAATGTTGGGCATGGTTTCGTCTCGTGATACCACTTTGCACTATATTTACTTAGTATTAAATCTCTAGACAATTCATCTGTCAGTCATTTATTTGCTTACATAATACCTCGGCTACTTATTATATATTAAAAGCAGGAAGATTTGAACAATGAACAATTATTGGATAATAGAATCCAAATTTTCAGTGGAAATCCACATGCACGAAGTCTTAGAAATTTTCAGAAATAAAAACTTTGGGGTACCTATATTTGATGACGAATTTCGTTATATGCATGTATATCTTCAAGTTATGGAATTCCATGGAATGTCGGTTTTGAATACCTATGGAAATTTGCAATTTGCAAATACCGCATTAACAATAATCTCGGAACCCTGGTTAGCACCATAATAAAAAAGTCAAGTATATTAAACCTAAAAGGAGTCAGTTTAAATTCTAATAATAAAATGGGTAAATAGCCTAATAAAAATATCATTACAAGCAACACATTGAAGGACGATACGTCTCGAGCGTTCTCACTGTTGATTTATGAAGTTTTTTAAGAGTCTTGTTCGTTAATTATTTTTTTAATGCTGATACTTTAGTGTAGATCCTATAAGCTTTTCATTCAGATTTGGTAGTGCCTAATAGTACACATAAATATGAAACCCAAATGACATATAATGTCGGTTGAACGTGTGGCCTTGATAATTTACTAGTCCTGTATAATATATTTTGATGTTCGAAGAGAAAAGTGGTGTACCATCATAGAGCTTCAATTTGAACAGTACTCTTAACAACACTGTCAAAGTATTTTGTTTATCGTTTCAAACTACTTTAACAATTATAAGTAGTACAAAGATTTCAGATCTAAAATGGATATAAAT